AGTCACTTCTGGTTACTGTGCTTTGGTCTCCTCTCGTCTTCCCTTGTCTCCCGTAACCTTGACCCTTGAGGAGGATCCTTTCATTGTATTAGTCCAGTGCTTTCTCCTTTTTTATCCTCACCGAGGATATGTTTTTATTGATTTTGAGAGAGAGAGAGAAAAACATTGGTTGCCTCCTTATGTGTCCTGATCTGGAATCGAACCCACAACCTCTTGGAGTATGGGGCATTGTTCCAGCCAGCTGAGCACCCTGCCAGGCCCAGTGCTTCCTCATGGTCGGAGTGATGCACTTGGGCAAGACCACCACAGACACGACCTTCTGTCCTCTCAGTGCACCTGTCCAGGGTTCACGGGTGACGTGTCTTATCACCGTGGCGGTGGCTGGGAAAGCTGGCGTCGCCCCCCTGCCCCCCGTGGGTGCTAAGGACCTTCTCCGAGGGCCCTGGGGACGATTCTGGCCCTTTGGTTTCAGGTGGTGATTAACTTGGTGATGCTTTTGGCTGAGATGAAGTTACAGCATCGTGCTGCTCCATCCTTGGCGATGATTCTGGTCAACAGCTTCCAGCTCTTATACGTGGTGGATGCGCTCTGGAACGAGGTAACTAGTTTCAAAAGCAGACGCCTCTGCCTGTGGGTGAGTAACCTGCCCTCTGGGCCGCGCTTCCACACCAAGTGAGGAGGTGCCCTGGACGGAGGGATGGCAGTCCCTGGGGTGCTTTGAGCCGATGTGGGGTGAGCACAGAAGGTGGTGGGTGTCTGCAGGCGTCCAGGGCCACCTGCTCACGCTCACCAAATGCTCAAGGGATGGCATTCACTTCCTTACTTAACCATGAGAAGTGGCCGTGTTGCCAGGTAGCTTATTTCCTTAAGTGGAAAATGTACCGAAAAGTCAGATTCTGATTAGAAATGACATTGGTGCATGTGGACTAGAAACATGCAGTTGGCGATGTCATTCCTCCTTCAGCAAACATCCCTGAGCACAGGCTCCGTGGCAGACAGGCAGGGTGCTGGGGGGATGAGGCGGAGCCACGGGTCCTGGCTGTTTGCCTCCTAGTCTCGGGGGGAGTGCGAGACTCAGGGGTCACAGTGCAGGCACACTCGCTCAGCCCGCAGGAGAGGCAGCCTCGGGGAAGCTTTAGCTGAGGTCAGAGAGGGTGTCCTGGGCGGAGGTGTGGGGGCACATGAGGCATTTCGGAGCCCTGTGGTGTCAGGGTCAGAGGGACGGGATGGAGACGCAGGCCAGGGACCCAGGCTCCCCCTCCCCAGCCCTTTAGGAATTTGACTCTAAACTAGACTTCACTTGAATACTTCACACACAGAAACTTTCCCCCAAACTCTGTTTTAAACCTCTCTTCCTGCGCCTCGCCCGCAGGAGGCAGTGCTGACCACCATGGACATCATCCACGACGGCTTCGGCTTCATGCTGGCCTTCGGGGACCTGGTGTGGGTGCCCTTCGTCTACAGCCTCCAAGCCTTCTACCTGGTCCGCCATCCCAACGAAGTATCCTGGCCGCTGGCGGCTCTGATTGTCGCTCTGAAACGTGAGTGTTCATTTCCCTCTGGGCTCCGAACGCAGTGCGCCCTGTGCCTCCATGTTTGTGTGACACGCCCTTTTCAGTGGCCGTAATGAGCTCAATTGGAAGCGAGCTGTGATGGGTGAGTGGTAAGGCGTTTGCAAAGAGAATGGATGCTTCATGCTTAGGTTTTTAGTAGATTTCTACTACAGAGAGATCTTTGAGATTTTTTATTGACAGTGGACATTCAGGGGGCGTGATGAGCTATTCCTAGCCCTTCAGAAGGGGTTCCCCTGATAGCCACTGGGGTAGCCAGGACATACTATTGACTGTATTGCCGATGCGCTACTTTACATCCCAGGACTTAACTGCCGGTTTGTGCTTCTTCAGCCCCTCACCTGTCCCCCCAACCTGCCTCCTGTCTGGCAACTATCAGTTTGTTCTAAAGAGAGAATTTTTATATCAACCAGTTTGCTTTTAAATTTAACCCTTTGTACGCCATAAGCGTCTATAGCAGGGGTCCTCAAACTTTTTAAACAGGAGGCCAGTTCACTGTCCCTCAGACCGTTGGAGGGCCGGACTATAGTTAAAAAAAACAAAACGGGAACAAATACAATATTTGTATTTGCATGTGGCCCGCAGGCCATAGTTTGAGGACCCCTGATCTATAGACACAGTTACATTCAAAATATCGTTGCGTGGCAGTGAACTGGTTAATTGTTTTAGTAACGACTCATCTTTTTCTGGTGGCATCTCTGAGAGGAGAGGAGTCCTGCCTTCTTAGGGCTTCCCTTCCACCAGGGGAAACAGACTCAGACGCTCGCAGGAGGCCCATGGAAGGACAGAGGGACTAGTCGAGAGACCTTCTCGCTGGAGGATATGGAGTTCGGTCTGAATTTTAGTGGGTGAAATGGGTGGGAAGAGTGAGCAGTAGTTGGGGGATGTGGTGTGGACGAGCTTCAAGGGCCATCTGTCTACACCAGTGATGGCGAACCTTTTGAGCTCGGCGTGTCAGCATTTTGGAAAACCCTAACTTAACTCTGGTGCCGTGTCACATATAGAAATTTTTTGATATTTATTTTATATATTTAAATGTCATTTAACAAAGAAAAATCAACCAAAAAAATGAGTTCGCGTGTCACCTCTGACACGTGTGTCATAGGTTTGCCATCACTGGTCTACACTGTCGCTTACCTCCACCAGAGGGCAGGCGAGGAGATGGGCACTGAGTTTCAGGTAGGGCTAGTTCTGCCACTAATTGGGGCCCTGGCACAAGAGGAAATTCTGGTTTGGTTTACCCATGTCGACCTGTGGGAAGGCATGTTACAGGTGAGCTAATCATAGGAATCGTTTACCACTTTCATAGTCAGTGAGACGTCAGGGACTGTTCGCTTGGGCATTCTGAAATAAAGCTACTGACTTGTAGGATTGCAGTGAGATTTGGCATATATTTAAGTGCAAGACGTAGTACTGAGTCTGAGCTAGAGTTTTAATGAACCAAAGTGTTCATGTTACGGCCAGCAGGCAGCGTAACTCACAGAAGAGAGAGCCTGCTCTTCATTATACTAGCTCTAGACTTGGCTTTATTGCAATGTGGGCTGTTAGGATGGAAGCAGTGTGAGAGGTTTGTTAAATTTCCTCAGAGCTCAGAAATAATAGCTAAGGGAAATTGCTAACATGAATTCTTAAAAATTTACAGTTTGTGGCTATGTAATCTTCCGATGTGCAAATGCTCAGAAAAACGCATTCCGGAAAAATCCTGCTGATCCAAAGCTTGCACGTAAGCACTGCTTTTATATTTATCGCATTTGTATTGCATAATTATCATGTCTCTATTTGCCTACATGTCATTACAAATGTGTTTTTATTTTTATGTAGATTTACAGACCATTCATACTTCAACGGGAAAGAACCTTCTAGTTTCCGGATGGTGGGGCTTCGTTCGCCACCCCAACTACTTGGGTGACCTCATCATGGCCCTGGCCTGGTCCCTCCCGTGTGGTAAGCACCAGGAGGCGCGCTCACCTGACTGTCCGTCCACAGGAGATGTCCTTTGTTGGGACATCGTGGGCAGACGCTCCTCCCTGTCTGTGGACACGCGGGGCCTCGTTCCTCTGGCTTCTGAGGGGAGTTAGGGACTCACAGAGCCTGAAGTTTTCCTCGAAACTTCTAAAAGCAAACGTGCAGTTTTAAACTGTGTCTGATGCTTTTGGCTAAGCAGCATATATGGGGATTAATTTCACTGTTATCCCCGACTCAGTGTACACACTGAGACCCTGCTCTGCAGCAGCAGCGAAGGCCGATCTGTCTTCTACCAGCCTGGCCTGCTCGGCTGCCCCCACCCCACTGAGCACCAGGGGCAGACGGGAGGACAAATGACCTGATCACAGTGGGTGGTTAGAGTGGATTAATCACACTTATCTGATGAGCTTTTAGTTCAGACACCGCCCCTGCCACCACCAGCGGGACCTTCTGAACTGGTTTAGGGAAAGCAGAACAACTTGGTATTGTGCGCTTTGGTAAACACAGCACTGACTGCTGTTCCCGCCGCTCCCCAGGTTTTCAGCACGTCCTGCCCTACTTCTACGTGGTTTACTTCACCGTGCTGCTCGTGCACCGAGAGGCCCGGGACGAGCGCCAGTGCAGGAGGAAGTACGGCCTGGCTTGGGACCAGTACTGCCAGCGCGTGCCCTACCGCATCGTCCCCTACGTGTACTGACCGTCCGCCGGCGCATGTCCCCAGCGAGCCTTCCTTCGTTGCACTGAGAGGTTCTGTAAGTTCCTTTCTGAGCCAGGACTATGGAGCCAAGTAATCAGTCTTTTACTATAGCCCTGAGTATGATTTCTAAATCATAACATTTAACACGAGGAAAGACAAAGATGTTAAGACTTTGCATTCAAATAGGAAATGTTTAGCCCTTAAAAATCTGCAAGCCAGTCCCATTATTGCCCTGAGAAGAACACTTTCCATGTTTATGGGTTTGATTTTAAAAATGCCGGCCTTGTTTTATAGTTGGTTCTTAAGTGGAAACACTGTTACAATGACAGTGTGTTGTGTTTTACTGTAGGAAGAGAATAGAATTTTCCTTCAGGTTGAAGTAAGAGGTGTGTCAAGGGACACCATTCGTAGTAGCTTGCTTACCCTGAACTTCTGAAACTGCATTCGGAAATGTAAATACATAGCCTTTATGTAATATATGGTGACTTTGGGTTTCTCTGTACAGTATTTTGAATGTGAAATAATTGTCAGGACTAAGTATCTTAACAAAAACATTTGCAGTATTTTAAATTAAGTTCTGTAAAGTAATACATGTGAATTATAATTTTTGAAATAGAATTCATTTGGTATTTTGTAAAAGATGCTATTAAGACATAGGAAGGTATTTTTCTTAATCCAAAGTTTGCAAATTAGGCTTTTCTACCTCAATTGCAGGTGTGTGTTTGCCTTTATAAACTTGCAAATAGAAAAAAAAATATTAGAATAAATATATATTTTTGGAGTAACATCCCTATTTAAACATTTTTACACAGATTGGAGGTTGAAGACTTGCCATTTCAGGCTAATATTTTTATATGTTTTTGACTTTTTTAAGCTGTGTTTTTGCTACTGCTGAGCTCATGCAGTTTATACTGTATTTTGTACATTCTTTATATTCCAAAACTCTGCTGCCTGTGAGGGAGTGTGGTATTCAGCTAAAAACAATGCAAGGGAATAGTTTAAAATCCTTTCTCTCTTAGTCTAATAGATGTGCCTCAGGTAGCTTTAGCTGTTAAATTCTAGTTAATAGTCTCATTATTAATTGTTCTGTAGGGAAAGCAAATCCACTAAACTTCTGTATTTGAATTTCAGTTCTCAGTACCTTAAACATGCAGGCATCTAGTAAGTGCAGTGCAGATGTTGAGTTGAAGGATGGATTTGACGTGGGCCACGTGGGTCTGCGCGTTATCCGCACTGCAGCCTGTGCTTCAGTTCAGGGCCGTGCGCAGAGGTGGGTTTGCGTAGCGCCCTGTAGTCTACAGACACTGTGCTTCCCCCTGGCGACGGAGGAAGGACACGGACTTCTCTCCCCGTCATGAGAAAGCGCCTCATATCCGCTGCCTTTTGCTTCTTGTGTTTTAAGTTGGAAATGTTGGAAATAAAGAGATAGGACCCGGAGCCTTGGTTTTCCTTCCTTTGCGTGTAACTCTGGGATCACTGAGACCGGAACGGGCGTCCTTAGATTACATGCCCCAGACATCTTTCCCTTTTTGTTTGGGACGCTCCTGGACCACAGGGGACCCCTAGCCACGAGGGAGAAAGAGCGTCTGCCTGCACACGTTTCTACTCGGGTAACTTTTCACTGCTACACGCGCACGGCCTGGAACAGGTACACCTGGTCAGAGTCCACATTTACCTGGTGTGGGACGGAGTTTATTTCTCATTCTTCTCACACAGCAGGGCGACCTGCATGGTGATCCAGTGACTGGGAGGTCTCCTTGTGGGCAAGAACACCGACGTTAAGCTGGAAGGGGAGCCGGTCGTTATGGAAGTGGACGACCGCTGAGGCGTCTGATAAACTGGGCACTCGAAGGTGTGGCCTTCCGACTCCGGCGGGTTAGCAGCGGCTGGCGTCTCGGGGGAAACCTGAGAGAGAACCCAGCAGTCCAGCTGCACAGCTCAAACCACCCACAGCGCACGTTTCCTACGTGCTAGACCTGGGGGCTTGTTAGGAGTTAAACACCCTGAAGGTCAGGGGGCTGTGTAACGGCACATGGGGATTACGCCTGGAGGATGTCATCTTAAAGTGTAACTACGGCTTCCTATAGCGCCTGTTCTTGAGAAGTGACGGTGGCTGTTGGTATAACATCTATTTTAGATTCTGGCAATATTTGGGGCTATTGTAAACGTGTTCGTGTCTCGGACTGCAGCTGGGGGGGCCTCCACCTTCCTGAGAGCCTCCGAGTTAAAAAGTATCCAATTTCCCCCGTGAACCAGGGGACGTGGAGGCCCCCAGGCGGCGTGACAAACATCGGGGTGCTGACCTTGGTTGGCAGGAAGTAGATTTCCGGGAAATCGCAGCATATCTCGCGAGGCAGCGAGTCCTCTAGTATTTTCTCTTCGGGATTCCACCTTGCTCCCTCGATGAATAATCCAAAAATGTGAGCCCCGATGTGTGAGGGGTCCGTGCTCTAAGATCAAAGAGAGGTGCTGTCAGCGGCGCCTGGGCAGGACCCTGCCTTGACCAGACGCCCCACTGGGGACGGGCCTGGAGGAAGCGGACAGCTCCCCGCCAGCTGCGGGGGGGCCCCGTCCCTGTACTGGGGAGCTGTTGCCGGGTGCGACTCTGAGACCTGAAACAAGTGTGTAGGCTCTGCATGTGCTAATCCTGAGCTGACGAGTGTTTCAAACACAGTAAAACCCCACATTTCCAGAAGGACCATCTTCGGCCCCGCCTTTCAGAAGACAGATCATAAAAGGGGTCAGACTCTGTCCCCTGCTTCTACCCCTGCAGCTACGAGATTCATGGAGCTCTGGGAATTTAAAACCTGGGAGGGACTCGGGAGCATATCTTTGAACGACAGTAAAAGGGGTGAACGAGTTGCTGATCGATTCTGTTGAGCAGAAAACTTTGTTGGCAGCAGCTCCAAATCTGGGGTGTCTCCAGGGGGGCCTGGAAGGCAATGTGCTCTCCCCCCCTGTGTGGAGGGCGGGGCGGCCGGCACAGTGCCCCCCGAAGGTTCCGTCTTCTCTGATCGGGCAGGTCCCTGGAGAGGGGACGGGCACCTTGTCCCGAGCTCCCCCTCCAGGCTGCCTGGCCCTTGCTGGCCCCTATAGTGCCTGTTCTTGAGAAGTGACGGTGGGAGAGAGGACGGTGAGGGCATGTGGGCCTGAAGGGGACTGTGCCTGTGTATCCTGCCCGCCTGGTGCCTGCCTGGCGCCGGGCACGTGCTGAGTGCGGAGTAAGGTCTGTGGAGGAGATGACTGCCTGAACGAACGAGTGATTGCTCTTCCCGACTTGCTGAGCATCCCGGTACCTTGAAGGCTCTCCTGACCAGGTTGAGCGTCTTCTGGACCATGATGGAGAACTCCTCCTCTTTGGAGCCAATGGTGCTGGGGATCACCTGGTGGGTAAAGGTGAGGGCGTCCGTAGAGATGCCGTGGGCCCTCCCGTAGTCCTGCAGCACAGCGGTAAGGAAGGCTTCGGAGAGAAACACAAGTTCCTTGTGAGTCTCAGGGACCCGGGGGCTGTGCGCGTCCCAAAGGTCCCGGGGGGAGGGGGGGGGCGGGGTGAGCGCTGTCAGCCACACGGATGCCTCCTGGGGAGGGAAGAAGGGGAAGAGAAAGAGGGTCAGGAGATGCGAGAGGTGGGGGTGAGGCCGGGCTGGGTGCCAGGAGAGGCATTTGCTCTTCAAACATTTATCCAGTGTTTCAGGGGCTGGGGGTGCAGCAGGGAGGCAAGCGGCCCTGCTTCACCCACATGGAGCTTGCTGTCTAGCATTACCCGCCCCCCTCCAACCCCCAACACACACTGCTGTGATCCATACCGGTGGACGTCTGTCCTTCCTGCTGGACATTTGTGCCAAGCAGGTGGGGCCCAGGGCCCAGCAAACGCTCACTTACTCATTCCTTCCTTCGTTCTCGTTAAACGGATACATTAATGAAAATGGCCGAAGCCCAGAATCAATCCCTAACACAGTGATGGCGAACCTATGACATGCGTGTCAGAGGTGACATGCGAACTCATTTTTTTTGGTTGATTTTTGTTAAATGGCATTTAAATATGTAAATAAATATCAAAAATATGTCTTTGTTTTACTATGGTTGCAAATATCAAAACATTTCTATATGTGACATGGCACCAGAGTTAAGTTAGGGTTTTTCAAAATGCTGACAGGCCGAGCTCAAAAGGTTCGCTATCACTGCCCTAACATGTGCCGTGGCCTCTGGGAGGGGTCTAGTGTCGGCCTCTGACCTCATCAAATGAATGGCCTGGGGCTGAGGCCCGGAGACACCTGCCAGGGTGGGGGTGGGGGGTGGGGGAGGAGTCAGTGCAGGCAGGAGGCCTGACACCTGAGGAGGGAGGAGGCCGGGGACTGTGGTGGACGCTGAGGGTGCGGAGGGCGGGGCTGGTCCTGGTTCGCACGCTCACCTTGTGGAAAGAAGAAAGCTGGGAGCCAGTATCTTGCAGGAAACCCTTCAAAGAAATTCTTTTCAAGTTTGGGGCTGGTGCTAGAGTGCTTCCAGGCCAAGGTAAACCTCATATACCTAGGGGCAGGCAGACACAGGCGGGGATGGTGACAGCATAACCACACGGTCAGGCCACCCGGGGAGATTTCTCCATCCCACACCCTCCCTCCCTCCCGCCTCATCGCAAACCCTCCCCAGGCGGGAACCTGGCCAGCGAGGGCTGTAAAGCTGGTGAGACCGGCAGGCAGGGGCAGGCCTTAACTGGCCCCCCTGTTTATCGCAGCGGGTCCCTGGCCAGGCCGGGCAGAGCCTCGCGGGCTGTTTGAGTCCCTGGGGGAGGAGGACGGCCGGGAACATTCGCTCACGGCTGGGCTGCAGGGACGAGGCGCAGTTGGGCACAGACTTTGGAACCAGATTTCCTGGGTTCAAACCCCAACACTCCCACTTGCTGGTTGGGGAGCCGTGGGCAAGTCCCCGCAGGTTTTGTGCCTCGGTTTCCTCCTCTCTACGCGACAGTTCTGCTTCGTGCCCTGGGGTCGCTGTGAAGGTTTGGTGACGGGCACGAGGACAGCCCCTGGACGAATGCCTGGCTCGCTGTGGGTGCTCAGTAAGTGTCTGGCACTCACGTCTTTCCATTGGCTGTGTATCATGTATTCAACACGCTTAACAATGACATGCAACTAATTCTTCGTTCTTCTCACCTCTCCCCTCTCCCCTCGCTACTTTCACAAGACACAGTATGGCCAGAGAATGTCCTAGGCCAGTGGTCGGCAAACTCATTAGTCAACAGAGCCAAATACCAACAGTACTTCTTCAAAATAGACTCGCCCAGGCCGAAAACCGACTTCTGCGCATGGGCCACGAAGTTCCAATCGCACTGTACGTGCGCCTGCACGTGGTATTTTGTGGAAGAGCCACACTCCAGGGGCCAAAGAGCCGCATGTGGCTCGCGAGCCGCGGTTTGCCGACCATGGCCCTAGGCTCTGTCTGTCTCTTCGAGGGCAGTGACCCTGGACGGGGCGGGACTCGGTCTCATTTCCTCGCCCTAAGGGGGAGGTGAGGTCCCCCACCCCCGCGAGGCCCAACATGAGCGAGCATGCTGCGCACCATGAAGCTCTGAGCCACAACCAGGAGGACACGTAAGGAAAGCGGCGGTCGCCCTACCGGTGGTAGATCGCCGTGTAAGCCATCTTGGCCCAGGTGTTGAAGAAATTCAGTCGCTGGATGAGGTTGTTAACCCAGGAAGCCAGGGGCTTGCACGACTTGTAGGCGTGTTTCTGTTAGGACGGAGGCACGGGCACATCGTAACGTCCTTTAGTGTTTTTTTTTTCTGGCCCATAGAAACAAGCTATTGCCGGGGGCAACGGGGGCGGGAGAGGCCAGAATTTGGCAGCCAGTCCCCCTCCTCACCCCCACCTCCTACTTTACAAAAGTCTCCTGTCCAGAGAACCCCTTGTCTCCCCCATGTCACCGCACACAGCGGCCGGCTCCCCCTGGTCATGGGAGGCCTGGGCCTGGTGTTTTTTTTTTCTGGCCCATAGAAACAAGCTGTTGCCGGGGGCAACGGGGGCGGGAGAGGCCAGAATTTGGCAGCCAGTCCCCCTCCTCACCCCCACCTCCTACTTTACAAAAGTCTCCTGTCCAGAGAACCCCTTGTCTCCCCCATGTCACCGCACACAGCGGCCGGCTCCCCCTGGTCGCGGGAGGCCTGGGCCTGCAGCCAGCTAAACTTGGAGTTGACCAGAGCCTGGAGCTGGCTTTGCCCCGCCAGCTGCTCCTCCCCTGGTGTGCCTCTTGGGGCGGGGGTGGGGGTGGGGGGGACCCAGGGGCCTGGGTGCTGTCAGCTGGCTTAGTTGGCACTCCCAAGACACTAATTTGCGTTTCTAGAATTTAAAGCACATATGCCCTTCTCTAAGCACATGTATGCATAGATCAGCCTGGGTCTTATGTAAGTATATGTGCTCTTACAATCCTTAAAAATGACATTTTTCTGAAACTTAAGGATTTAACAATACATCTTAGAGATGTGTCCAAGTATATCCGCATCATCGTTTAACCGGATTCCGATTAAGAGGAATGACAGTTGTTTTCAGCTTTATGCTGTGATAACCAGTCCTGGGATAGATACCTCAGGGGTATTCAATACCTCAGATAAATGTATTTAAGTAGACTTGCCAAATTTCTCTCTAAGAGATCTTATTAATATCAACTCACCAAAAGTATGTCAGCACCTTTTAATGCAGGCGCATCATGATATTTCGCCACGTGGCTGTACCACAGTCAGCCTAGTCCTGCCTGCGACGGGACCTCTACTTCCCGTCGATCCGGCCCGTAAAGGC